CGAAGTTGAGGATTTCTTCTGAATTTCTCTCGGGCGAGTTTTCAGGAGGGTTGAAAGGTTAGTGTCCATGAGGGGGGCTAATTTCGGCCTTTCTATTTTCTGTGCCGTCCCTTTTCTGCCCAAACCCCCTGAAATGGAGGCGGGAAGGGTGCCGACGAGTGGAGAAAGGAGGGTGCCAGGAAAGACACCTTGGGCACCATTGGGGAAAAATGAGCAAGCGCTTCTTTCCACCCAGGACCACGTCCTCCCCCCAATTCTTTGCAAAAGGACGCCCCACGGAAATTCCCATGGGAAGAGTTTTCTTTCCCCCTCGCGCAGGGATGCAGTTCCCCCTGGGGCCCTTGAAGCAACTGGGGGCAGGTTTCCCCACTCCCCAAGAGGATCACCGGCTTTCCTCCTCCTGCCACAGGCTCTCTCCTCTCTTCTTTCCCCCTGCCCGGGCAAGGTGTGCCGCAGGGCAGTGGCAGCCGTGAGCCTGGCGGTCTTTGCCAATTCCCACGTCTCACCTCAAATTGCCACACTCCCAAGAGCCCAGAGACGGGTGGGGAAGCTGGCTGGGCCTTCCAGCTTCAGCCTCCTGCAGTTTGAACGCCCGCAGGAGCCTCGGGTGACTCACGGCACCTGCCGGGCTGCAGCCAGATCGAAACTGGGAGCTTGCCTGTGCCCGCAGGCCTGGGCAGGTGTTCTCAGGCTGCAGGGCTCGTACCTCCTCCCGCCTCAGTGGGAACCGCCGGGAACCCAGGCCAGCCACAGGGGGAGCCCTGGATCCGGCTTGGGCCGTGCATGGGCTTTCTGGGGTGCTCTGCGCTGCGGGTGCCCAAGAGAGGAAGAAGCAGGAGGAGAGGGAGGCCCAGCTTGTGCATTCGAGGTTGGGCTGGTGCAAATCTGCTTGGGTTTTTTTCCCCTCTCTCTTTCTGATGTTTGCAAAGCTGTCTGTGGCAATTTCTCATTTCAGGAAATCTGTGCATTGCAGTTCCCTCCTTTCTTCCTCTCTCTCACCCACTTCCTTCCTTCCATTCATTTTTCCATCCATCCATCCATCCATCCATCCATCCATCCATCCATCCTTCCTTCCTTCCTTCTTTCCTTCCTTCCATCCATCCACCCATCCATCCATCCCTCCCTCTTTCTCTCCCTCTCTCCTTCCTTCCTTCCTTCCTTCCTTCCTTC